AACCCCTCCGAAATTTTTTTTTCACCTAAAGGGCTCCTCTAAAACTGAGACTATTTAAGTCAAACGTGTCACGTGACATGTGAATTGGTTAGGGCCTTTTTTTACTTGTTGGTTGGAGGAGGAAGCTGTTCTTTCAATTGAAATGTATTTTTCCTGAAAGAGTATTTCGTTCATCTGATATTTTGGGTAGCAACGTCCGGAATGTTTGTTGTAAACAATGTAAAAGATCGCGGGTTTTGTGATATACCCCCTTAGTTGAGGGGGTTTAAATTAAATTTTCAAAGTTGAGAAAGATTAGTATCTACGGCGGTTTTCCAAATTTAATCTTTAATAAAAAAAATAACCATCATTTTTTTCTCAAAATAAAAAAGAAAAATAAATATAGCAATCCACCTCTAGTTGAAAGACTAGTACTACGTTCTAGACACGTTGAGGATGACAAGGCGTGGGACAGCGTGACGTAGCTAAGAATCATGCTCTATCAGTTCTCTTTGCAATAACACGGGTTGGTAATCAATTTTGCTTTAGCCTTCGCAAATGGTCCCGTCACAAAATGGTGAAAGTTAGGCTATAACATCATATATCATCCAGATTTAGTCCGACCAAGCGAAAGAATTTTCAGGCCTACAATTCTAAAAATTGATATATTCACAACCAAGCTGGAGCACACATAACAAGGATCATACATGGATTGAAAATTTCTATTGCTATAAAGCAAACACAAGAAATTAATATATACAAATCTTACTCGTAGAAGAAAATAAAACTTTACTTTCTGGATTGCCAGCAAGCACAAGTTGAATATCAGGGAGAATCTGGCTGCTAAAGGTTGGGAAGGTAGTCTGCTCTGCCCTCTTTGCAATGAGGTCATCGAATCTCATGATCACCTATTCACTAGGTGTGCCATCTCGTCTTCAACGTGGTCTCTTCTTCTTCCACTCATCCCATCTATTGATCGGCCTCATAACCTGAATGACATGATCTCTCTCAATTTCATTTCAGCAATCAATCAGGACATCATTTTATTATGGAGAGTCCTTTTGCCGTGCTTCTGTTGGGTTTTATGGAATAGCCGCAACAACTTCGTCTTTAACGGGATCGAAGTCTGTAATCATCGCATTGCTTCTAATGTAGCTAGACATGTTCTATTTTGGACAGGTACTAATGCTAGTAAATCTGGACCTAAGCTCCATCAAGCGGCAATCAACCTGGGACTGAAGCATATCGCACAATCTAACAGCGATGCTGATGTGGGTGATAACTTCTCAACCGCAAGTTGATCCTCCTATCCTCCTCTCTGTTGTCTTTCTGGCCTCCTTTTGAAGACGCTGAAGCACTCAGCCTATTTTGGAGCTTTTCACGTTTTGTTTGATGAGGTTGAAGCATTTAGTCTATTTTGGAGCACTCATTGTTCTGTTTTGATGCTTCTCCGGTGCTTATGTGTAGCAAGTCTTGTTGAGTTTAGTTTGTTTTTGACCACTCTTTGGTTAGACTTGTATCAGTTGTCACATTTCTATAACATGAAATTTAGATGCTAGGGTTATAAAAGTGAACAAATTAAGAGATATCTTCTTGGAGACTTGAGCTAAAAGCATACCTACGCTGGCCATAGTGTTAAATAAGCCGTATTCTGCACTTTCTTTTTTCTGACCTTTTTTTTCTGACACGTAATAAAATATCACACACCTGCTCACTTTATTTTGGAGACCATGCTGCTTATGACCATAAGATCTGCTTTATTGACTAAAACCAACCCTCCTTAATTTGATGCCCCTTCTCCAATGAAGCGTGTTAATTTTCATACTTTGATAGGCCAAAAGGTCCTCAAGGAGATGATAACCATGATTCATCACTAGCCAAAAGATGGCTTTGAGGCAAAAGAAAAGAAAGCTTTGCTTTTGTGACTTTTCGTTGCGTTTGGTGGTCATGCAAGCGGTGAGATTAATCAAGAAAGCCTCGGGGTCGGAGAGGGAATCGTATGCCCTCCAATTAGTACGAGACTCGATCTTTTCGTTTATTTAATCCCGTGATAAGTCCGATGTAGATTTTTAGTGAAGATAAAAGTAGAGAAATAGTATTATGGCATCTAACTTTCCCCTAAGCTTTCATTTACTTCAGATCTGTCCGTATTCAAAAATCCATCATAAGATCATACAATGCGCGCGTATTCTGCAGGGGTACGCTTCGTAGAGACCGATTTGAGTGGAAAGCCTGCCAAAAGCTACACTTTTGGCAGGCTTTCAACACCTTTCCCTCTCAAAAAAAAGAAAACAAACAGCCTAAATTGTCACCGGCTACGCCCCATAACCTTCTTCTTTTGGCAATGAGAGAGAACACCAAGCACAGGACTAGAAGCTTTTAGTTTCAAAAAAACAATCAGTATTAACCTATCCGATCGAGTAGGAATTCTATTAGAACGCAGACACGGTGCAATGCAAGGTTCATTTCGATAGGAGTCCTACTTAACCCATGAGCTATTTTTTTTTTTTTTTTTTTGTTTAGAGTCTTTGAACCCACACCAGATTCGCCATCATCCTTTTTCTTGATCCCATCCAGTTAGAGATCTGAGGTGAATCTTCTGGCAGCAAGTAGATCCATGTCCTTTTTTTTTACTTTGAAAGATTGATCTTGCTCCTTTTCATCTAAAAAAAAAAAAAAAACCTTGCTATCCTCTTTGTTGCTTTATCAGGTACACAATCGTCACCGCTGCTTCTACTTGTCCTAGAAAGCTAGCCAGACTCTTTCCCATAGGCCCCATAGCGCCCCCCCCCCCCCCCCCCCCCCCGCAAGGATCAAGAGCGAAAGAAACTTCGCAAAGAACCCGAGAAGTTTGAGCGCGTCTGAGGTAACCCCTATCAGTTCGGGTACGTCACGTAAGTACGTAGCCCTCAAAACAAAATCTAGAAAGATCCCCGAAAAGCTGATCGTTATTTGAAAAATAAATTCAGAAAAGTGCAAATCTTTCGGGGGTTGGTTGGCATTTCCAAACTTAGAGGGGGTCATCTAAAAACGGCACAAACTTCTTAGGAGGTTTGTGAAATCTACCCCCGTAAACAGATTTACAAGAGGCCGGCCTGCATCTGACAAAGCATCGAGGGAGGAGAGAGATTAAACAGTGCAAATCCTTCGGTAATTCGTAGCGAACAAAAAAAAAAAAAAACAATGGCCGAGAGGAATGACCCCATCGAATGGAGCATTTCACCTGTTACGCACGAAGGAAGAGGACAAAGCCCCAACATTCAGTGCAGTCATTCCTAAATTTTGTTGTAGCCACCGTCGCCTCAAAAGTCTCTCCCCATCAATCACTTTATAAAAGCTAAAGTTGCACCCTTGTCCATGTACTCTGTACTAATAATATTCCTTCTTCCTTGTTCCTAAACCCCCATGAGCACCCTTCTTGTCTCCAACGAGTCGTATAAGCTATAGCACAACCCCTTCCCTTCTACTGTTTTTGAGGGCCCTGTACAGGAAAAAGAATCTTTGGAGGGCTCTATCAACAAAATCACACAAATATATATATATTTATATTTATATGGAATACAATATTAATACGGCTTAATGTATCCATGCAGCCGGAACTACTTACAAGTTGCAGTCACCCAGATTAATGCGTCGGAATATTCTGTCGTTGCAATCACCAATCATTCTACAGGGATTCCCACCCCCCCACCATTGCTTAGCAATAATGCAGGCCTGGATCATCCTAGGTTAGCTAGCTATGTAGATGTAGAGAGGTTATGATTGAAGGTCATGTGAAAATGTCCTCTCTTGAGTTGAGAGGATGATGAATTGATGATGTATAAGACATTTGATGCTACCCGTTACCTTTATTGTTTTCATGCTTTGACTGATCTCTCTATACGTCCACACACTAGTAGCAGCGGATAGAACGAACCCAACAACAAGGGACAACGAACTGTCGAAGAGTGTTTCGCTTTGTGTTACATCTTTCATGTGGGGTTCTTCTTCTTCTTCTTTTTTTTTTTTTGTGGGTATAGGTAAAAAGATTCCATCGCAACGGACAAAATCAAAAGCAGCCATCACTTCGTAGGTTAATCGAGAGTCTTCCATCACTCCTAGGTTCAGTTCGAACCCACGATTGGCTCCTTTGTGATCCGATAGGAAAATAATTTTTTGTACTGTCTCCTCACTTGGGCTCCATGCAACCCTGTTTGGTCTTGGCTTCTGTTTATCTCCTTCAACCCCAGTACCTTTGAATCCTGTTTTCAGCTTTGCCCATGTATCATTCAGCGTTAGTTAACAGGGCGATTGCGTTCAACGGATGCCTGTCCGCAAGTCAGTTGTTCTGTACAAAACAATCGAATCAGGGATGAGAGTCTCAATAGAACCTTAGGTATTATGCAGGGCCTGGAAATGATGTATAAATTCCAAAGGGCAGTCCTCGGGATATGATTTAACAGGAAGGCAACTGAACTTTCAGAATGCTGCGTTAACCATGCGGCTGTTCAAAGTACAGTAAAAAAAAAAAAGATATTTCTTTATCTCCTTTCGATCGGTTTGTGCAGAAGGATAAACGTCTCTTCCACACCTCGCCCTGTTTCGGAAAATACTAACCTTTGGATCGCTATTGAACAACCCAACATATTGAATGTACACCTTCTTGTATCGATAACTAGGTTTAGCTTCAAGATAGTTTTCTACCATGTCTGTAATTTAGCATAAAATAGTTTTAACAAAGTAGATGCGCAATTTTTGGGAAACATGCTGGCGTCCACATGAAGCTCTATCTCAGGGATAAACGTAATTGTACACTTGCACCATCATCGGTTCCTTGACGCCTAGAGAACAGGGATTTACGAATACCATGTCAAGTCTGATAACTGTAACTTTTGTACACGCTTAGTTTCTTCATCACTAGAGTAAGAAGCACCATCTCTGTCCCGAATGAATCCTATAATTCAGATTCACTATGACATTTTTTTTTTCTGAATTATATGTGAATCCACAAAAAAGAAATTCCATCTACATACACCCTTGCCTCCAACCGCAACGCTGTCATTCAACTTCATTATATCACTTTAATAGGAAGAAGATGCATGCTGGGATGAAAATTATTCAGTTCCTTCATCTTATCTAGCAACTCTATTTCAGTATGCTAGACTGAAAACAAATCAGAAGAAAGCCTCTTTTTAGAAATCATCCTCACTCTTACTTCTATTAGATTGAAATAGTGAAAGATGCAGAAAGTAACTCTTATACACTAGAGCTCTCACTTCAGAAACAACAAGATATACATAAATGATTATCTACAAGGGGCAGGATAAAAGCGCTGTTACTTCTTCACTTTCGGATGAAATAAATTCCCTTGTTAATGCTTTCTGATAACTCTTTCTTGGCCTTCTCTAATCCAGCCCTGCCATAATCATAACATACTTGAATCAGATTAGATTACTTATGCCATGGTTAGAAATATAGATTCGGGGGCATTTCTAGTCCCAGATACGCTTTCAGTGACATCATTGCTTACCAAGCAACTATAACATGAAATTTTCAGAAAGCAAATCAATGGAACATTCGCCATTGAGGGTCAAGCATCAAATGGAAGGAAAGTTTAATAATGTTAACATGTATATGACGGATGAAAATGAGTAATATTTTTTTCCTAATGGGAGTGTTTGATTTCTGTTTTCACTGACATATTAGCAGATTTTTTTTACACAAGTTTGAGATTTAGATAGGGTTCCGAGCTACTACTAGAATCTCTAGATCATGGAAGAAGTGAGTCATGAAAGAATGTCATTAGAAAATGAGCATATTAATTCAAGTTAACTGGATGTGCATGAATTCAAACATCCCTGGAGTAATCCATTGACTCAGATCTTCTGCAATGTATTTGTAAAAGTATAAAGTTGTGCTGTAAAGGACTTTCGGATGGTATCAAAGTAACCCCACCAATAACAAATTTAAAGGGGATTTTATAAAAACAAATTGATATGGCTACGTGAGAGGAGCAGGTTTCAGCCCATGGAAAATGGCACTCGACCTTCAGGGGCATGTTTAATATAAAAGTACACTCAAACCTTACAATAACTACGAAGCTTTGGTTTAGTTGAATGGGCCTCTAACAGCATTAGATACTCAAATGGAAACCGATAATTAATGTGATGGCTGCCAGTGATTGGAGCTTCGAACAAGAAGCAATACTGCTATATTTGATGGATGTGAATCTTTAGTATAGACTATAAACATCAAGTGTTCGGCCAGCTATGCAAAATTTGTTGAAAGCATATGAAAGTGTTGGTATATAATTTGGTCATTTTTGAGGATGATGTGGTACATTGAATAAAAACTGAAGGGTCAAAATTGAGGAGTGCTACTAGAGTCTTATGTAACAACAAAATACCTATGAGATTGCAGAAAACTTTCTAAAATAGTTATAACACCAACAATGCTTTATGACTAAGAATATTGGGCAATTAACAACCAACATGTGGAGAAAACGAGTGCAGTAGAAATGAGAATATTATGATGATCTCATGTATGTACACTAAAAGATGGAATAAGAAATGAGTCATTCATAGGAGACTAGAGGTTGTTTCTATCGAGGATAAAATGAGAGAGAATGGATTGAGGTGGTTTGACCATATACAACAAAAGTCATTAGATGCACCAGTAAGGAAAACTGATAAGATTATAGATAATGGAGCAAAGAATACTAGAGATAGACCTAAACGATCTTGGTAAGAAACAACTAAGAAGACTATTATGATAACGGACGAGACGATCCACAATAAAATTGAATAGAAGATTAGGATTCAAGTAGTCGACCCTAAAATTTAAGCTAAAGGCTTTGTTGTTATCGTTGTCATATCATACCTTAAAAGGTGAATACTCCTATAACAAGCCTTATCACTTCTCGCTTCTACTTGAGTTTCTTATCTAGAAGAATTTCGGCATGCTTCCATAGTTCCATTAGCTTAGTGAATAAATCAGTAATGTAGGTTTTCATACGCCCTACTAGCCAACGGTTATCTTTGGCAAATCTCTGTTATATATTTTCTTAAGGCTAGAACGGTGCATCAACTTAAAGTGGAGCCATCAAGATAACTTAAAGTGGAGACATCATGATAGTGTATTGTCATGTATAATGCATGCAGAAGGCTTGAAATTTTGGAGTCAATGTTGATGTACGGTCCTTTTGTTGGTATAAGTATTGATAGTATTGAATGTTTGAAATATCAAATGATTATTTGTTAATTACTTTAGAAATAATTTTACAAAATTATAAGTTTGATAATTTTTCTTTGTTCTTTTCCTTCTCTTTTGCTTGGGGGCTGTTAGAATAATTGTTTATTTCAAATACTTACTGCTAATTATAAGTTGATAGACCTTGTTTAATTCATTAAAATTTTTGGAATTTGTCATTGTTAAAAAAATAAAGGGAAAATTGTTTCTAGCCCCCAACTTTGTTATAAGTATTCCGCCTACCCCAAGACTTTTTCAACACTCCCAAAACCCTCAAAAGCAAAGCTATAATTCCCTAAGCCCCCAAAACACAAAACCCAAAAGTTTAAAACATGTGAAGACCATAATACCCTCTCTCTCTCTTTCATGATGTTACTGTGATGAATTGAAATGGGTTTTGAGAGGGAAAATTCTAGTTCCTTCTAAATTTTTTCAACGGCGTCGACATCAACGATGAAACTTTCCCGATGTTTGTCACCGGCAGCTAAGAAAACTACGATCTTGAAGACGATAATGACAACTTGTGTCACCAACCCTCTTAAGTTTACATATTGTTGTAATTTTTTTTTGAATTGATGACTTGAGATTAAAATAGAGAATGTAAATTTATATATTATTGTTATTTCATTGTAATAAGTTTGTTGTTAAGGGGCTATTTGGTTCGTTTTTAAACTCGGTGGAAAAGTTTTACACCACCTCCACATCAGATTTTTCGTGGCCACGTAGGATATAAGTTTTCCGTCGTTTTTTTTTTCATCTTTGGTTCGCTAGGGTTGAAGAAGGGAAACTCGGTGAAAATCGCCGTCACATCAGATTTTTTTCTCCCCCCCCCCCCCCAATCCCTTCCTCAACCTCCGTTGAAATCGACGAAAACTGCAGCCACGTCAGCTTTTTGCCATATAAACAAAAGTTTTCCCATTTTTCTCATGCGAACCAAACACAAGAAAAATAAATACATTGGTTTCCCATTATTTTTTTGTGCGAATCAAAACGAAACAATCTATTTCTTGAAAAAGTTTGGAAAACTCAAAACTTGTGTTTTGTACATGAAAATGCATTTCCCTATATCTAGAAAACGAACCAAACAACTCCTAAACTTATGAGTTGGTGGTGAAGTTGGTTGTGAAGATTACGAGTTGGTTTTGAAGGTTACGAGTTAGTTGTCAAGGGTACGTGTTGATTGTGAATGTTACGAGTTGGTTATGAACATGTTACGAGTTGGGTGTGAAAGTTACTCGTTAGTTGTGAAGGTTACGCGTTGATTGTGAATGTTACGAGTTGGTTGTGAATGTTACAAGTTGGTTGTCAAGATTATGCGTTGGTTGTAAAGGATATGCGTTGGTTGTGAAGGTTACGCGTCGGTTGTGAAGGTTATGAGTTGGTTGTAACGGTTACGAGTTGGTTGTGAACGTTATGAGTTGATTGTGATGGTTACGAGTTGGTTGAAAGAAGGTTACATATTGATTTTAAAGGTTACGAGTTAGCTGTGAAGTTTATGAGTTAGTTGCCAAGGGTACGTGTTGATTGTGAAGGTTATGAGTTGGTTATGAAAAGGTTACGAGTTAGGTGTGATGGTTACGCGTTGGTTGTCAAAGTTACGTGTTGGTTGTGAAAGATACGAGTTGGTTGTGAATGTTACTCATTGGTTGTGAATGTGGCATCTAAGGTTTCAATTTTTTATGCCAAACTTGATCACTAAAGATTATACTAAAACAAGTTTCTGATCTACCAGTTGATAATATATCAATCTAAAGCTTCAACATGTGAAGGGAAGATCCATGAAGTAAGCACAGGTCAGTTTAGGCTATGAACACAGTTTTTTCCAAGACTTAAATAAATGGATCATCTCACATATTTTTGAATTTCTTAACTCTCACAAATCAAGCATTAACACTTAAAAGACTAACTACTCATTGATAGTTATGAAATAAAATTAACAAGAAGTAAATGTTTTAGGACAACAAACCTTTCATACTCGTTTAAGGGCCCAAGAGCAAAGACTTCCTCAGCCCCTCCCCTACCCAGTCGCACTTTTATTGCAAAGAATGGCAGATCAGTAACCTATACAGAAATAATAAGTGGATCGTAGCCTTGATTGTTATTATTATTGTAAATATAAGAGAAATACGGGATAAATGATTTAAAAGAATTCTACATAATTTAAGTACCTGAGAATCCACAAAAGAGCATTCCACAATTCCAGCATCACCTCTCATCCCCCTCAAGCATGCATCTGCAAATTTAGCAGCTGCATAGGCCTGCATTTTTCAGTTCATTTTTTACCATTATTCAGTTCTAAAAGTTAAGCAGCAAGTATTATCACGAAATAAATTAAAGTTAAAATAAAAAAAAGAAGAAAAGGTGATGAGATAAAGAAACCAACCATTGACAGTGTTGCAGAGCCAGCCCCAGCTTTCGCCTGTATTCAGAGATAATGGTATTTCAGAAAGGGTAATCATCTATTATATCGCTTTGAAAAAACAATTGATAATACTAAGTGATTAGGTGTACAAGGAGGTTATCGAGGCAAAGAAAGAAAACGAAATACATTCTTATTCATATATGAATTATGCACATAAAACAGCTAGAAGGAATCCACTGAAATACAATATGATCACACATGCCACTGCACAGATTACAATAATCCTGAAAGTGCATATTAGACATAAGCACCAAGCTAATAGGGAAATATCACATCCACCCTACAAGAACGATTACAAATATTAAAGATACAAATGTTGCAGCAATGTAAATGCCTGTTGGTAAAAAAATTGCATTATAAAACGGTAAAACCAAAAAAGTTGGAAAAAAGAATAAATGGATTGGTAAGCTACATGGAAAATATGCAAATCAGGGACATTCTAATTTCTTGAGCTATTCAAGGGCAAGTGCTGGTGGGTTTGCACTGCACTGGGAAGAGATAGAGACTTTAGTTATGCATAAATTTTCCATGCTTTTGATTAACTAGTATTCAGATTTTCCCAGGTTACTTGCATATGATATTTGGGACCAGTAGATGATAGTTGGAGACAAGGAGAGAATTCTAGGAAAGGTTAAGAATATAACAAAGAATATGAAAAATAATAGGAAAAGGAAAGCAGATAGACTTGGGATTCTTGAAAGGAGAAATTTATCTCTAACTTCAGTTTAGGGAAGGTTTATAAGTGGCTAAATTCAATGCACTGCAGGATATTTGTCGAGACTGCAGCAATGGAATAACAAGCCGCAGAGATTTCATCTCATAGTTAAAAGAGAATAAGATGGATGGGCAGTCAAATATATTTTTATTCGCAGATCAAATAGAATTAATCAATTTGAATCAAAATGGTTTCAAACAAATATAATTCATCTCCATCAGTGGATCTTTGCAACCCAACAAGTGGTATCACCGCTCATGGTTTGCTGGGTTTGACTGTGGATATTTGCTCACTTCAAGACTTTCAGCATTGTTTAGTAGAGTTCAAGAAAGAATGCATGTGTATTTTGATCTGTAGCACAAGATTGGGATTCCTAAGGGATCGTCTGAAAAGTGTTTTGACATACTGTATCCATTAGCTATTAAGTTCGTGCATGTTATTTGTGGATCTTGGTCTACATTATCACATGATACAATGTGTAACTACCCTTTTATGTAAGAAAGATCTTTTGTCCAGCTTTCACGACTTACACACATGTAGCATACTGTTATTTGTAACTTTATGCTAATAGATGGTGTTATGGCACTTGGAATGTTAATTCCATGATATAAGGTTTTTTTGCTAATAAATGTTTTATGTCATCTATTAGTGTTAACTCCATTCTAGAAAGTTAACTTTGAATAAGGACCCTTAACATGCGACCATTTCATTAAAGTGGAGGTGCTAGAAGGCAAGCGAAAAATAGCAACTGTATAGATGGAATAACAGTAGAAAATGAGAACAATTTCTAGTTTACATGACTTTGCACTTATATGCCTTATCTTTTTTCCTAACATTTAAATATCCTATGTTTTAAATAGCACTTTACTACCTTCTTTTAGTTAACTGTTGGGATATTCCCTTTAAACATATGATATTCTCCTAAACATTTCCATGTATCTTGGACATGATAAAAATTGGTTAGTATATCCCTAAAGTTGGTTGAATCAACTGAAAGCAGAAGTAGACCTCCTGACTTTGGGGCAAACTCTAAGTGGAGAAAATAGGGTTGAAGATGAGAAACTACCAACTTTAGAAGTATAATTGACAAATTTCATCATTTGCAAGTCACATGGAAATAGGGGAATACTTCCAACATTTAAGAACAATACACCAACGTCTATAAACTAAAACTAGTAAGTATCTTAAAAACCAATAGGCTAGTTAAATGCCACAAAACAAGACAGTGTGTGTAACTGTTAAAGTCATGTAAGTGTAAAGTCATGTAAACTATAAGTGTAAAGTCATGTATAAGTGTAAAGAAGTATCTTAAAAATATGTAAACTATAAGGTATTTAAGTGCTATTTAGCCTTTATAGAACTTGAACCAGTGTTAACAACTGAAAGTGAAATGTCAAACTATAAAATAAATTAAAGATACAAGCTGAAAAGTAAGTTTTCAACTAAGAACTATTATACTTAACAGAAACACGTGAATAATCAGATTGCCGCTAAATGTCTTGAAAATTGACTTATGATCTAGCTACCAATGTGTTTATGGACATACTTGTGGATAACGCACGAGCTTTAATTGCTAAAATGATCCAAAAGTTCAAGGCATTTGGTTGCCTAGCTCTCAACAATGCATTCTTTCAAAAGACACTTTGAAGATGCAGAAAAAGCCCAGTATGATTGAGTTCAGTAACTCAGGAAAGAAACTGTTCGTCACCATATGCTGAGGTACACATTTCGTAAGGAGATGTGTGAAAGTATCGTTGACATATATGGGTACAATGGCTGTATGAACAATGGGAGAAGAAATAGGGTCAAGCAGTTGAACTGAGCTTGTGCCTGCCAAAGTTACCATGACAGGAATATAGCTAGAGAGGTTACATGTTTCAAAAATGAAATACAAGATAAAAACAGCAGTTTTATACTCCATTCAGTAAATATAAATCGGAACATCTTAGAAATTTTTGCAATAGAAACTGATTGCAAGATTACCCCACATATTTGTTGCAATTCGGTCACAATAGGTTTAGACAAATAAGTGAGGAGCTAAAGAGTTAGCGAGTGGAAGTGAAAGGGAATATAATGTAACACCGGGCAGGAAAAGTTAACTTGAAATTAACTGTGTACAGTATCGGACTAGAACCTTTTTGGAGATAGATCACTTGATGTTACATGCATTTTCTTTCTGTCTTCATCATGCTCAAGAGGGAAAAAAAGGTGGAAAGTTTTCTTCTTCCTTATTTGAGGGGAAAAAAGGTAGAAGCTTCAAACACTAACAATGTGCTTTCAACTTCAATGGTATCTTTAAATAGACATCCAAGGATAATACAAAACATAAATAACAAAGATGGTAAATGCAAGATGTTATACCTCAACAACTTCTGTTCCCCCATTCTGTATGCGATCAGTTAAATGATTAATCTCATCAGGAGTGAAACTGCATGGAGGCTTAACCTGCATGATTAAGATATTATATTACAATCAATAATATCTAAAAAGGCAGGGCACCTGAAAGTGCAGAAAAATAGCAAGTGGCATAAAGTCGTGAACTTTCCAACCTGAGACAGAAGTGGCAATATTGTAACTCCTGCATGACCACCGACAACTGGGACATCAACTTCCCTAGGATCAATTCCCAGTACTTCTGCCTGTAAAAAGTATTACAGCAAATTAAGCCTATAATTTATTATCAAAATGGGAAAATAACAAGTATAATCAGGTACAAACCACAAAAGTATTGGCTCTCACGACATCAAGTGTCGTGACTCCAAGAAGACGCTTGGGATCATAGGTGCCAGCTTTTTTGAAAACCTCTGCAGCAATAGGAACAGTAGAATTCACTGGATTACTGATCAAGTTCACAATAGCACGAGGACAGCATTTAGCAACTCCTTCACAAAGTGTGCGAACAATCCCAGCATTAATTTTGAACAGGTCATCTCGATCCTGTGAGCGCACTCTCCAATTGAGGCTGACCTAAAAAGCCACGTACCTGGAGAGAGGTGATAATTATATAAGAGAAACAATATATGTTTTCTTAATTTTACACCATGTACTACTGAAATCCAAAATCAAGGACCAATATCAGAAACCAAACAACAAGCACATAAAAGCACACTAATCTGTAGCAGATAATATGTAACCTTCAGTAATCAGAATAAATGTCGTGCAATTGTAGCATTAATTTCTGAAATATAGAAAAGTGTCAAAATATGCTTTACATCGATCTAGTTCCTTACAATATAGCCAGTCAGAAATCAGGCTATTTTGACAGCCAATATCCACGTCTTCCAATTTCAATATGTTAATCGAACCATAGAATATAAAGAAAACTCTACCTATCATTAATAATAGGACACAAAACCTACGTAGTACATATTCACAGAATTTGATGTATAAAATACATATTTTCATAGATATGTATAGCGTACCCTGAAATTTTAACCAAGAACAAAGGAAAAGTAGAGAATTAAGATGCTTACCACTGCACCAGTGTCCATATGACTGACATCAGCTGTGACACCGGGAGAGTTTACAACATCATATAGGTGAAGAACGGATACCAAAGGATTCATCTTCATCAGCAATGCAAGAGGTTGGCCAATCCCCCCCGCAGCACCCAATATCGCTACCTTAAACCCGGGTGCCCCTCCTTTAGCTCGGCAATTCATGGGCTTTAACGTAGAAGTCTCCTCCGTCCTCTAGAGAAAATCAAAATATCATTTCAAGAAAGGTGAAGGAAAAGTGATTATACCACTATAAATTGCACTGTTGCAGCATGATTATCCTATGGACAGCCTCAAAGAACATGTGCATTACAAGCAGTCGTAACTCCTTAAGTAGTAATCATAAAGGTGGTACATAGAAACACCAACTTGAGGACTCTTCTCTGCCCTAAAGAGCAGTGGCAATGGGAGGAGGCTGATGCTTGTCTCCTCCCTCTCCACTCCTTCCCATCAATCCAAATCCAAGTTTACCTTTTCGTTTGGGGATAGATCTGGCAAATAGATGCCAAGTTAAGGATATGTCTGACCTGATGAAGAATATTTCTTGAAAATTGAATGAAATTCACATGTGGAAACAAGTTGAAAGCAGATGATGATTTTTATGTGCTTGAAGTAGAAGAATGGGGTCGATAATGTCTGATGGGATCAAATGTTTATGATAAACCCTATCATCTCTATTCTCCTTTATGCAATTCTAAGGTAAGGACAAAGGGCCAATTGAAAAAGATTCAACATTTATCTCATTGGCAAACAGTAATGATTTTCGGATAAGGGTAAAGTGGTCCTATGAATTAAGAGGAACCCACAACTTTAACTTGTTGCCGGAGCAGCCAAGAGTAGGGGTATTAAATTTAGATTTTCAATTGAAGGTAAGAACGCAGGGTTCCTACCAATTAAGAGGGAACCGGGACTTAACTCATTGTCAATTTAACCAATGAGTATAGACATTGAATTCATATTGTTTTGTTGAAGGTAAGTAAACAGGGTTCTTGCCAATTGGAAAAGGGTCATATCTTTTTTTGTTGCAGCCAAGGAGAAAGATATTGAATCAAGATAGACTAGTCAAATTATTGTGAAGATCATCATACTGGCAAAGAACATGCTAAAAAGTTGTTGTTTGGCGGAGTCCTCTTTCTTCAACTATTCTATGGATCCTCTCTAAGCTAGAGTTTAGATTGCAAATATAACTAGAATTTGTTGATCGTTGAGAAGGATTATTATGTAATATTCATCCAGACCTAGCTTGATGGGTTATAAATTTTGCAGGCAGCCTATGGGTCATCAAATTTATTAAGCTCCCCCTCCTTTTTGCTTTATTTTTTTTAAAGAGGGGTTCAGGCCATGTGTGGGTTTTCATATATGCTCCTACCTCTCTATCTTCACGATTTCTCTATGTAAAACTCCTAAAGTGCGGACTAACCAAGTTCAATTCTAAAAGAAATGACGCAACGCGGAAGCAATAGCCTTGGAATCCACCAAAGACAATCTTCGAATCCACAAAGAACTTCGAATCCACGAAGTAAATATTGAAGAAAAACGAAATTTTATTAATCAAAAGTCATGCCTCTAAGACTTACAAGACCCTACTTAAATAGAAAAGAAACAAGACTTTTACAAAGACTCAAACTCCTACAATGACTCTAACTTACCAAAAATAGTAAAAGAATTCCTAAAACATTAAAACTCCTAAAAAGACTCATTACGACTAGGAAAGTCCACCGGTCAAATCTGAGATCAAATCGGCTTTGTTTCCTAATCAAAACAGACTCTAGGAAAGTCCACCGGTCAAATCTGAGATCAAATCGGCTTTGTTTCCTAATCAAAACAGACTCCTAAAGCATTACTAAAAATAGTAAAAAATCTGAGATCAAATCGGCTTTGTTTCCTAATCAAAACAGACTCCTAAAGCATTACTAAAAATAGTAAAAAAACATACAAAAATGTAAATATCTCTCAAACCGTAAGGAATTTGGCGAAACGGAGGAAGCAAACCGATCCCTTAGGAGTAGGTTTGGATGACTCCGTCTTATCGAGATAGTCGATATTCATATATAATTCGTCCAATTCTGACGTACGGCTTGAAAGTTATGGTCGTTTCTTCGAAAAAAAATATTTTCTTCGATCAGACTTGCATTTGGGCTTGCGATTGTCCCACTTTAACATAAATGTGTCTGTCGTGTGTTCTACATCAGTCCCCCCTGCTTGAAAAGAGTTCGACCCCGAGCTTACACTTGCATGAATAGTTATTTCTTCTGACGAGTAATACTCGAACAAATCTGCAACATTGAAACTAGGGGAGATACCCAAATCTGTAGGAATGTCAACCACATAAGCATTGTCGCTAATCTTCTTCAGTATCTTACATGGACCATACTTCTTATTCTTCAGCTTATTGTAGGTGCCCACGGAAAAACGTTCTTTTCGCAGAAACACCATCATCATGTCTCCCTCTTCAAACACCTTCTTCCTCCTGTGTCGATCAGCATCATCCTTATATTTAGCATTAGACTGCTCAATCTTCTCCTTGACTTCCTGTTGGATAGCCCGTATATTTTTAACCATATGATTTACAGGAACACTCTGTCCGGGAAGCTTAGGCAGTGGAGAAAGGTCAAGATAATGATTCGGAAGCCTTCCATACACAATCACAAAGGGAGCATTGCTTGTAGTTCGATTCTCCATACAGTCATAAACAAATTCAGCATGTGCTAGAGCAAAATCTCACTGCTTCGAATGATCGCCAGAAATGGATCTAAGAAGGTTACTAAGAGTGCGATTTACTACTTCAGTTTGGTCATCCGTTTGAGGGTGATAAGCAGTACTAAACTTAAGAGAAGTATTGAATCGCTGCCACAAAGTCCTCCAAAAGTGGGATAAGAACTTAGAATCATGATCGAATGTGATGAATTTTGACACTCCATGAAGGCGAACTATCTCCCGAAAGAAAAGATTGGCAACTTTGCTAGCATCTGCAGTCTTCTTGCATGGAATGAAGTGCGTCATCTTCGAAAACCTGTCAATCACAACATAAATAGAATCCATACCTCATTAGGTTCTAGGCAGTCCCAACACAAAGTCCATAGAGATATCATGCCATTGCATATCAAGAACATGTAAAGGTGTATACAACCTTGTATTCTGAGACTGTCCCTTAGCAACTTGACAAACTGAATAACTCGACAAACTGAATATCTTCAGCTGAGGTCAGTAATATCGCTCTTCAATAGAAGCAATCGTCTTGTCTCGCCCCAAGTGTCCTCCTAATCCGCCAACATGAAGGCCTCTAATTATCTGCTCTCCTAGCGAACTCTGGGAGACTGGGAGTTTGGGGCATGCACAATTGATCGCCATAAAATAAATAACCATCCTGAATATGAAAGTTTTTGACTGATTTATTCTGTTGGCAGTCATCTCAAATCTCTTTAAAGTCTTCATCCTCTGCATATAGCTCCTTTAGGTACTCAAATCCAATCACTTCTGCTTGCAAAGTCACTAACAAACCAGCTCTCTGACTGAGTGCATCTGCAAGCTTATTCTGCTGGTCGGATTTGTGCTTCAAAACAATGGTGAAATGCTACAGATACGCGATCCAATGAGCATGCATACAATTGATGGTAGTCTGACTATTAAGGGACTTCAGGGCCTGATAATCAGTATGAAACAGAAACTCTCGCGAGATCAAATAGTGCTCATGCTTTAAAGACTGAACTATGGTATATAACTCTAGCTCATATGTGGTCCACTTCTGTCGAGGTTCGCTGAGTTTCTCACTGTAGAAAGCAATTGGACGTCCTTCTTGAGATAGAACATCACCAATTCCTAAGATGGATGTATCACAATCAACTTCAAACACCTTTTGAAAGTCTAAAAGTGCAAGTACTGGTACGGTGGACAATTTCTCCTTGATTAATGCAAAGCTACGATCCGGTTCTACTCCCCAATTAAACTTATCTTTCTTCATGCATTCAGTGATAGGAGCTACAATACTGTTAAAATTTCTGACAAATCTCCTATAGAACGTTGTTAGGCCATGAAAACTACGAACATCACTGACAGTCTTCGGTGTAGGTCTCTCTCAAATAGCACACACCTTCTCTTCATCAACATGGATGCCCTCTGTACTAACGACAAAGCCTAGGAATACAAGGCTACTGGTCATGAAGTTGTACTTTTTCAGATTGATGTACAACTTGTTCTCCTGTAAAACTATCAGTACCTCCCTCAAGTGATCCAGATGTGCAGTCTCACTCTGGATATAAATTAGGATATCATCAAAGTAAACTATAACGAACTTCCCGATAAAGGGTTTTAATACCTGATTCATCAAACACGTGAAAGTGCTAGGAGCATTAGAAAGGCCAAAAGGCATGACTAACCATTCATACAGGCCGTTTTTGTCTTAAAAACAGTCTTTCACTCATCTCTTTCTCTAATCCGAATCTGATGATAACCACTCTTGAGATCTATCTTGGAGAACACTTTTGATCCAGACAACATATCTAACACATCTTCCAGTCGTAGGATAGGAAATCGATACTTCACGATGATCTTGTTGTTAACCCTACTGTCCACACACATGCGCCACTCTCCATTCTTCTTCAGGACTAGAAGCGCTGGCACGACACACAGACTCATGCTAGGTCGTATAAGGCCATTCAGGACGAGGTCATTCACCTGCTTCTGTAAAATTTCTCCTTCCTTCGGGCTCATCCGATAGTATGACAAATTTGGTAGCTGAGATTTCGAGATGAGGTCGATCTGATACTGAACGTCTCGAAGCAGTGGTAATTCAGACGGAAGATCGTTGGACATCACTGCTTCGAATTGCTACAAGAGGGTCTGTACTTCAGGTAAAATTTCGGCGGTGGTAGAATCCTCTTTTTCCGAGACAAGAGCATAAACCTCATCAGACTGCTTCACATCTTTCATAAAGTCTTCGTTGTCAACGACCAAAAAGCCTTCTTTTCAGCAACATTGGTTTTGACAGGTTTCTTCTCGGTTAGAGGCTTGAACATAATTCGTCGACCATCCTTCTTAAAGATATAAACATTATCTTTCTCCCTATGCGTGGCATCAACATCAAACTGTCATGACCTACCTAACAATATATGACATGCGTCCATCTCAACTACATCACACAACGCCTCATCGATATAAGTTCGGCCAATGAAAAAAGATACCCGACACACATCAACCTGCACGTCATTACCCTTACGAATCCATCCGATCTTGTAAGGAGCGGGGTGCTTCTCCGTCTTCAAACCTAGTTTCTCCACCACACGTCAAGAGACAATATTCTCACTGCTCCCACTATCAATGATGACATCGCAGATCTTTTGTTTCACTAAGTATCTCGTGTGAAAAATGTTATGCCTTTGTGGTGGTTCTTCTGTCTTTGGGATCAATAATAGTCGTCGTACAACACATGAGAGTTGTTCCCCATCATCATCAGGATCTAATCCATCATCATAGTCTTCAGCATCGTCTTGGTCTATGTCCTTATCTTCGTGATCTGCCATATTCATAACACCTCTTTTAGGGCGCTGATTGGATCAATGACCAGGCTGTCCACATCTATAGCACTTGATCGGGTCAGGCTTGGCATATGGGTTCGTTGGTGTAGTCTTCTTTGCTGTTGTTACTGGACCCTTTGCTTTCTCCGTTGTAGTATCTTGATCAGGAATAGTTTGAGATTGTTTATTCCCACCACGATTAAAGCTTGTGCGCGACCCGTCGAAAGCTGCCCAAGATCCTTTACTATTTTGTCCGAGTTGTCACTCTACCTTCTCGGTTAGGCTAACCGTGTCTGCTAAGGTATAGGTCTGTTACAAAGATACACGATCCTGAATTATCATCCTCAATCCTCCTGTATATCGGGACATCTATCGGGTTTCGCTCTTGTTTAAGTTGTTGCAGGATGATAGTCTATAGAACTCCTGTGTGTACTCATCCACAGTTCTTCCACCTTGCTTACAATTCTGGTATTGTTCAAATAAAACTTGTTCATAATCACTTGGTAAGAAACGGGCCCTCAGTAGTTTCTTTATCTTTTCCCACCTTTCAACCTTCAGCTTTCCTTAACGATATCGATTCAGACAAACAGATTCTCACCAAGCTTAAGCTTTACCTTTGAGTCGGTAGGCCACCAATTTTACCTTACGCTCTTCTGGGATCTCCATATACTCAAAGAATCGCTCTACTTCTGCAATCCAGTCGAGGAATTCTTTGATATGAAGTTGCCCGTTGAAAGATGGCAGATCCATCTTCATCTTGAAACCTCCAACGTCATAATTTTCCCTTCGTCGACGGTCTTTGCGATAAACACTGCGGCGTGGGGCTGCATAGTTATCTTCCTCGATGTCGGATTCATCATATGGAGTCGGTGGAGTCGGATCGCGTCGTTCGCGACCATCAACGCGATTTTGAACTCCCGCCGTGTTCAAACGCTCAACTGTCGTCGCAAGTCGCTCCATAACAGTCTTCATCTGATTAACATCGGCTTTTAGCACGTCGAACTCAGTTCGAGAAATAGGGGCTTCATCACTTGTCATCGGATAGGAGGAACAAGGCTCTGATATCAATTAACACAGCGCGAAAGTAGTAGCCTCGGAATTCACCGAAGACAATCTTCGAATCCACGAAGAGATTCGAATCCACAAAGTAAATATTGAAGAAAAACAAAATTTTATTAATCAAAAGTTATGTCTCTAAGGCTTACAAGACCCTACTTAAATAGAAAAGAAATAAGACTTTTACAAACACTCAAACTCCTATAAGGACTCTAACTTACAAAAAATAGTAAAAAATTCTAAAACATTAAAACTCCTAAAAAGACTCCTTACGACTAGGAAAGTCAACCGGTCAAATCTAAGATCAAATCGGATTTGTTTTCTAATCAAAACAGACTCCTAAAGCATTCCTAAAAATAGTAAAAAAACAGACAAAAATACAGATATCTCTCAAACCGTAAGAAATTTGACGAAACGGGGGAAGCAAACCGAACCCTTAGAGATAGGTTTGGATAGCTCCATCTCGCCGAGGTAGTCAATTCTCATATATAATTAGTCCAATTCCGACGTACGGTTTGAAAGTTATGGTCGTTTCTTCGAAACAAGTTATTTTCTTCGACCAGGCCTGCATTTGGGCTTGCGACTGTCCCACTTTGACATAAACGTGATTTTCGTGTGTTCTACATCAAGAAACCAAACAAGACGCTCCCAGATTTAGCAAGTGGCAAGAGAAGCCATTTTCTTAACTACGTAGCGGTCATTATTGAAAAACTTAAACAAGACAAGGTACAACCAAAGAAACCCAATTGGCCAAACACACCAGGAAGCACTATTTGTAAACTTAGAATCCTAATTGCCCTAGTGAGCACCAGGGTACTGAAATTAGACAAACACATCAAAGTTTATGCCAAAAAGATCAAGATGCCATATATTTAGGGCATATTTGTTTGCACGTAAGTAATTATGAAGTACCTGAAGTAAAAGAAGTAGATGCTACTTCCGCTACTTCCGAGCAAAAATACATGTTTGTTTCTCTGTAAAACCTATTTTCAATACTTCTTTAAGCGCTAATTTGGCGCCTATGTGTCATCCCTATTTCCTAAATATTTTTCCGCCCCCTTAAGATTCAGAAATAGCTTGGAAATAGGTGAAATGGTTATTCATTAGGAAAAAAATAATTTTTCTTACTAATACTTCCTTTATTAGTTACTTCATAACAACTTCTGTTGCTATTCAAACAAAAAATTTGAACTACTACTCCCACTAGTTCAAAAAATGTGTGAAACAAACAAAAAAGGTATTACTTATATTCTCCCTACTTCATAAATTTAGAAGTTACTTCTTTGATCTATTTCCTACTTTCAATATTTCTATCAAACCAAACGAGCCCTTAGCAGTGATAGATGTCAGCATGAAAGTATTCTTAGTCCTCTAGTTAAAACAAAGATCATTTTATAAATATTAAGAAAAATAGACTATATCACTACATTACAAAGTAGCAAAATCATTTATAATCATCAATTGCTAATTAAGTGCATAAATGCCATCCAACAAGAGTATTTCCTCCAGAAATCAGGTAAGTAGTAAAAGTGAGTCAATTTCTCAAACACCTGGTGATCACTATTCAAAATACTGAGGAAACCCAACTGCCAAAATGCACCAGTATGGTAATCATTATGAAATCTGACAAAAATAAGTCATAATTAAGGAAACCCATTTGCCGAATTGAACATCGACGCAAGAAAATTAGACTCTCGGCTCAAATGTCACCATCAGACACAATGAATACGCCATCTTTTCAGCACATAATTCAAGAGAGAAGAACCTGGAGAGGGGGAGGGTGGAGATGTGCTGCGATGGTCGCAATGCGCTGGGATGCCTCGGAATTGGGCTGCATCTTTTGAACAGTGAGCGGGTGACCTCTGCTGCTTTGATCCTTAATATTTTGTTATTATAAATGAAAAGGAAGCGTTGAGTGAAGATTGTGTGGAGATTGAGCGTCTTTGATCGGATCCTTATCCTGCTGCGTAAAATGTGGTTCTCATATTGGAAGGATTTGATGCCCAAAAGGTTGTTTTCCTTCTAATCTTCCCCCTTTGTCCTCTTCTCTACCCTCTCGTAAACAAAGACGAGGAAAGTTGAGGGCTATATTTTGGGTAAATTGGCTAAATTGTACTTAAAATGCTCCATAATTTGGACAAATTTTCAAAACCAACGTGTGTTTGTCAAAAAATTCCCAAAAAAAGATGCGTTTCAAATTAATTTCAAAAACTGACCCAGTTTGGCTGAAACTGGGTCGGTTTTTGAAAAAAAATTCTCAAACTTCATGGGCGTTGGAAGCCCCGTGAAGTTTTGTTATATAAAAAACTTCACGGGACTTCAACTCTTGTGAAATTTGAGAACTTTTTTTTAAAAACCGACCCAATTTCAGCCAACTTGGTCTGTTTTTGAAATTAAGTTTAAAATGAGTCTTTTTTTAGGAATAAAATTCAAAACGGGTTGGCTTTAAATTTTTGTCCTCCATAATTTCCACCAACCATTGGTCTAAGCAATCATTCATCTTAAAGGGTTATTTGTATACATATACCCTATAAATCTTAGTATTTGTAAAATTCCTTCTCAAATCATCAAGTTTGTGAAGAAAATATTCCTAAAATAAACAAATCGTCCACTTGATGATAAAAAATTTGGCTATTTTATCAATAATATTTTGCATTATGATTATGAATTAGCTTATCGAAGTTGATGATTAATTGCTTTGAGTTCTAGAATTGATGATTTAAGGGGTAGTTTAGCACATACTAAGATTTGGAGGATATTTTTACAAATACCCATTATTTAACGGGTAAGTATGCAAATAATCTTATTTTAAAATCATGCACTTATATGTTCTAAAGTATTTAAATATTATAAATAGACGTCTCAAAGTTTAAAAAACACAAATAGCATTAACTTTTCTTTATGTACATAAAAATATCACACAAGTGATGGTAGTAAACTACAACTATTAGAAGTTTTAGGGTATTTAAGTGAGATCATTTATCAACCGAGGGTATTTATATGCAACACTAAGTAAGCAAAGAGGGCAACATATAATATTTTTAAACTTTAGAGCACTTATCTGTAATATTTTAATACTTTGGGGGCATTTAAATAGCATTGTTTTAGAATAAGAGGCATTAAAGTGCAAGATTAGTGAAACTCTAGGGCATTTAAATGCGAGTTAGCATGGTAAATTTCACAATACCTCAAATTTTGGACATTTTTTCACAAATGTCCCCAAAAATTTTTTCCCCACAGAAACCTCTAACCTACCAAGAACATGTTTGGTAAGTGGTCAAAGTCGCTTTATAAGCCATTTTGACATGTTTAGCGATGACTTATTTCAGCTGACAAGCCCTCAAAAAATAAACTAGGGTACCCAAGATTATTTTTTGATGGCTTATAAGCCACAAGTTTTGACCGAGTAAAGGACAATTGTACCCTTCAATATTTTAAAAAAATTTCAAACACCATTTATCTCTTTTCAATACCATTAAATACTTTTTTTGATAATAATAATGGCTTGCAAGCCACCTATTTCTCAAAACCTCCTTACCAACTTTTCAACTAGGTCAAAAGATTATGACTTGGGGAGAAACTTAATAAATATTAAGATTTGGGAGTAATTTTAATAAATGTTTTAATAATTTGGACTATGTAACCAAGAAACCCATGGTTTTTTTATTGTAGCCATTAGAATCTATTTTATTTATATACTAGATCCTCAAATGTTCATTATTATAATGTACACACAAACTTCATTATATTGTCTTAAGAGTTATTTAGATATTAATCCCACAAAATTTTCAAATTGCTAATATGCCCCTCAAATAGTAAGGGTTCTTGCAGCTTTGTCATCCAAGTTAACTGACATCAGATCCTACGAGAATACTACGTCAAATCTAACATTTTGAGTAAAACATCTAGTTAGACAATCAGTTAAATTTAATTAATTCGTTCCCATGAACTCCCTAATGGTTATTTCTGAGCTCCCCAAAGTAGCGTTGTTTTAGAATAAGAGGTAACTGAATCATGATATCAAGATCTAACTGAAAACCTAATAGAGAGAACCAATTTGCAAGACCCATTAATATTTGAGGAAAGAATGAGTAATTTCAAAATTGAGGGACTACTATGGAATTATTGAAGATTTGAGGGAGCAATATCTAAATAACCCTTATTTCAAATAACATCATCTATTTGTAATTTGCGTCCTCAAATCCAATACTTGTTCTAATAACGTCTCCATTTCGAACAAATATAAAGATTTGAAGATGTAGTTTATAGATAGGAACATTTTTCGATGACCAAATTTAAAAATTAGGATAGAAATAGGGTGTAATATGAGAAAAACTCATCATTTAGTATTCCTTATTATTGTTACTACTTGCACCTCGTGCATTGCACATGATCATATACTTTGATTGTTATGTAGAGTTTGTGTCTTTATTATAATTGCCCAACTATCCTCTCTATAAAATAAGAATTTATATGGATAAATTTTACTAAACCCCTAATAAGTTTGGTGTTTGACATTAGACCCCAAATATCATCGAAATTCTCACTAATATCCAACTGGTGTATTACACTATGTATTTCAAACATGTATGAGGCCATTCAATTTCAAGGTACAAAAGAAATTATGTTGGATCGATTTACTTCACTATTATTTGAAATTTACAAATACATGCTGACAATTTTAAGATTTACAAATATTACAAAATCAAAGAATTAAAAAAGACCAAAACTTTTTTAAAAATTTATGAGAGTATTTTTTGCAATTTTCTAAGTTTATATGGTACTTTTTACAAATTTGAAATTTGTAGGTTTTCAATGTATATAATTTGTATCTTTGATTTTTTTAATGTGTTATTTGTAAATTTTAAATTGATGAGGTTATTTTTTTATAATTATCAAATCTTTATCTTTATCATGATGTTGTAATTTAAAAACATTTGAGTAGGATAATAACGTATCTCTTCACTAATTAATGTAGATAATTAAATTTAAAGGTAAAAACTAACTCCTAATTATCAATTCCTTATCTCCTAATTTAAATATATTAGGATAGGATAACAAATTTTCATCTCTTTACTAATTACCGTAGATAATTAATTTTAAAGACAAAAACCAACTTCTAATTATGAATTTCTTTTTTTATCTATTAAATATTTTCACATGAAATACATAATTATGATGTATACTAGGTTGCTACATGTGCATTGCACATTGTAGAGACAGATCTAATATTTCTGGAAAGTAGTGTCACCATAAAATTATTACTTATTAAAATTTGCATTTTCTTTTGCATGACCTATGGTCATTTGATTCATGTCTGCATAAAATAATTTTATAATGTAAGAAAATGATCTATGTTTTTAATTTTAATTCCATTTCAGTATACTTTTAGAAAATGGACTATGTTTCTCTATTTAAGTTCTTTAAGAAAATGGACTATGTTTCTCTATTTAAGTTCTTTAAGAAAATGGACTATGTTTATTTACAAGGCCCATAGACATTTTCTCTCATTTCCACTCATCTCCCAAACGTCCTAGCATTAGGTGACTTTTACGTTCACGTGTTTTGGTTATTCTAAGTTGTGGCAGTACTTAATTTCTTTTAGGGGGTTGAGTTTTAGAATGGGACTGGAAAAAACATATGATGGGATGGATCCTATGGCAAAGTGGTTGAAAGCACCCTAAGAGGGGATGAGTAGGGTTTATGCTAATCTAATCCGATATAATATCAATTAAAAACTTATTTACTAATTATCCTAGCTGATATACAACAAGATATATGCAAGAATATTAAACTAAGGGTGAGATAAACATGAGCAAATAGCAATATAGAATGAAATAAATAATGAGCAAAAATAATGCGCGACTTAAACACACAATATGATCACGGAGTTCGATCCTTCCGACCTACGTCTCCGCTCCCCACTCCCGGGGAGAATCCATTATCACAACGGGTTTTTAACATTCACCCAAAACGTTTACAACAACACAATCTCGGTTTTCTAGCTCACTGAAAGCTTTCACAACACACACTCTTGCAATCACACTCTACACCCTCTAAGTATTGGTCTCTAACCCGTGTCTGTCCTCAAGTGTTCAGATTTAAGACCTCTCTCTAGGTTTTACTACCAATGTCACTCCTATTAGAACCGACCCCGTCTCTCACCACACACTTCTCTTGGTATACAAGTGTATTACGAAGTGTATCTCACAATAAAAGCTCAAATACAAAATGGTTTGTTCTCTACAATGGATGAGAACTCAATGTAAGCTCACACTCTAAGTAACACCCACCACAACCCAAATTATACAATATATAAAATACTAGAAGCTCAATAGGTTATGTGTATAAACAAAGAGTAAAATGAAGTTTAACTCAATTCAATCTAGCTCAAATATATAATAGATAAAATAATAAATACCTAGAAGATGAGTTAAGAAAACTTCTCTAATAAAAACAAGAGGGATAGATGGATGAAGTTGAAGCCCAAAACTAATGAGATGATTTTCTCCTCTTGTGAAACTTTCTTCACAAAACAAACTTATAAAAACACACTTAAATAAAAACTTAAACACCATTTTAAACTTGTTTAAAACTCTTCTTAATTGATCAATAGAACTGAGGTATGAGGGGGTATATATAGGAAACCCTAAAGCTCAAGAAAAACCCAGCAAAAGATAAAAATACCCAAAATAGTGAAAGCTAGAAAAACTAGTCGTTGGGCCATCAGTCGACCGATGGGTTGCATCAGTCGACTGATAAGCTGATCGTTACAGGTAGCACACTGCACATCAATTGACTGAAGACCTCATCAGTCATAAAAACAAAAACTTTTGCCAATTCCAGACGAGTTCTTCGGTCGACTGATCCTTTGCATCAGTCGACTGATAACACATACTCAGCCTGTTTTGAATAGTAAAAATAAATTTCAAGGGCCTTTAAAAAATAGCAAATAAATTCTAAAAAATGTAAAATTTTGAAGAATGCTTATAAACATGATAATGAACATGTTACAAAAAGAAAATTTGAAATTGCATTTCTTATTTGTAAAAACTCATCATTTTACAAAACTAGTGTCGCACGCCGCTTCCCTAAATACCAGGGAATCGGAACAT